GAGCCTTTCTCATCCTCCCCGCGCGCGCGCCTCCCACGCGCGCGCTCCCACCACTTCTGAAGTTGGCGGGCGCCAGCGAGCCGGAGCAGGTGCAGGCCCTGATCGGGCCACCGGCGGGGCGCGCCGGGAGCAGACTGGGGCACGAAGGAACGCAGGGAGAGAGGAGGTCGGGAGGGGCCAAGAGCCGCTCAGAAGGTGGAGTGCGTCGCGGGCGTGGCGGAGGGAGGTGGAACGCACAAGCTTGAGGTCGCGCGGCTGCATGGAGAGCAGCGCTCCTGTCACGGGGGCACCACCAAGGGAAACTCCCCCCTCCCTCGTGCCTGCTCACCTCCCAGCGGAGGAGGGCGGAGTGGCAGCCGAAAGGTCACGACCCGTTCGTGTGCGCGCGGACGGCCCGCGTTCTAGCTCGGCCCGGGGGGGCCCTTCTTCCCCCTCCCCTTCACCCTCCCCCTCCCCCTCCCCCTCTTCCTCCCTCTCCTCCTCCTCCTCCTCCTCCTCCTCCTCCTCCTCCTCCTCCTCCTCCTCCTCTTCATATTGGAAGTCCCGATTAGGATGGTACCGCAGTGGACAGCATGCCATGGGGTAAAAAGACGACGACGACGACGACTACCCATCGCATGGGGCGGAAGAGGAGGAGGAGGAGAAGGATAGAGGAGGAGGAGGAAGGAGAGGAGGAGGAGGAAGAAGGAGAGGAGGATGACGGCCCCCTTCTTTTTTACGTGTCCTCTCCTTCCTCCTCCTCCTCCTCCTCTCCTCCTCCTCCTCCTGTCCTCCTCCCCCCTTCTTTTTTACGTGTCCTCCTCCTCCTCCTCCTCCTGCTCCTCCTCCTGCTCCTCCTCCTCCTCCTGCTCCTCCTCCTCCTCCTCCTCCTCATTCTTGGTCACCCCCTCTCCTCTGTGGGCCCCCGCCCTGGCGACGAGAGCCTGTCAGCTGCAGAGTGCTGGCACACCGTTGGTGGTGGCTTCCGCCCTGCGGGACAGAACCATAGCTCCGTCCTCAATCCACCTCTTGCCGTCGCTCGGACGTCTATTTCCCGTGCATTTGTTCAGTTTCGTGCGTGTTTTTTTGCTCGATGGTCCAGGATAGTCCTCGATGATTATCGCCGAGAAAAAATGCACACGTCCGAGCGATGCCAAGACCTCACTCTCCCTCCGCCCAGGAGCAGTGAGCATCGCATCGCCAGGTTGCGTCGTGCCTCGCATCGGAGCCGCGTCGGCACGGGGTCGGCATCGGCTCGCCCGAAAATCGAGAGATCGAATCGGACACAGCAGGGCGCGGCGACACCGGCATCGGATCGGATCGGCCGAATCAGAATGGGCCCTGCCGCATCCATGCGGCGCCTCCTCCACCCACGCGCTCCCACCCCCTCCGACATCTCCTCCGCACTTCTCTTCGCTGGACCCCCTCCCTGGTGCGCTCCGCGCACCAGGGAGGGGGTCCAGCGCCGAGCCAAGGATCCGGCGCGGACCTCTGAGACTGTTCATGGAGGCTGTATGTTTAGGATCGGCGATGACCTGGATTATCCGAGGGGGGAGGGGGGCGGGGGGCAGGGGGGCGTGAGCCCGATAACTGGGCTATCGCGGGACCCCACAAAAACATTATCGTGTTGAATTCTGCTTATGCTGATTTGTTGTTTCCTCCTCGTCATCCTCCTCCTCCTCCGACGGCGGCGGCGGGGCAGAGGCCCCGGCGTGCTCGGCTCAACCCCGACCTGCTGCATCATCCGGAGCAGCTGGCGGACCTCCTGGGTGGCGTACGGGCTATTGACCTGCAACGGGAGCTGGGGGTGGGGGGGGGGGGGGGGCAGTTGCCGACTCCTGCACAACTGCTTTTTGGAGCGAGGATGGGGTGCAGTTTCGTGTCGTGCCGACCCCGAGGTTGGTCCCTGACACCGCGGAGATCGCCCAACCTTGAACGATCTGCCGCTTCCAAAACGTCACATCGCTCAGAATCGACCGATTCTGGGTCGCCAGCGGCGTTCAACGTTGAACGCCGCTGGCGGGGTCGCCGCCAGTCGACACGACGCGAATCTACCGCGTGCGGATGCGAAGGCGGCTCGCGTTTCTGCCTGCTGTGGGGCGGTCATCCTGGGAGAGGGCGAGCGCTGGGGAGCGCACTCCAGCACTCCCGCACACCCACCCCCTGGGGAGCACGCTCCCGCGCACTCCCCGCCAGCACCTCCCACGCTGGGGAGCGCACTCCCACTGGGATGGGGCAGGAGGCTACGTTTTTGTTGGAAGCCTTTCTAGATCAAGATGTTGGCGGACTGGCGCGAAATAGCGGCAAACAGCGACAAATACGGCAGATTGCGGCAACCCAGTAGCGGCAAATATCGGCACACACCCCGCGCCAATCGTCCACCATCACCCTCTATTCGCCGTCAGTGGCCGCGAAACGCACCGCAAAAAAAAATCCCGATTAAATTCGCTTCCATGAAAGCAAAGCAGAAAGAACGTATAGGAGCATCGTTGCTGTCATCCGTAGCTGGTTTGGCTTGGTGGCAGCCCAGAGCGATGGGCCAATCTTCCACCACCATTCCATGGATAGGACGGGGGGGAAAGGGAGATGGAGGGGTCCTCCTCCTCCTCCTCCTTTTCCTCCTCCTCCTCCTCCTCCTAAACCTCCTCCTCCTCCTCATCCTCCTCCTTTTCCTCCTCCTCCTCCTCCTCCTCCTCCTCCCCCTCCCCCTCCTCATCCTCCTTCCCTCTTCCTCATCCTCCTCCTCCTCCTCCTCCTCCGCCTCCTCCTCCGCCTCCGCTTCCGCCTCCGCCTCCGCCTCCGCCTCCGCCTCCTCCTCCGCCTCCGCCTCCACCTGCGCTTCCGCTTCCGCCTCCTCCTCCTCCTCCTCCGACTCCTCCGCCTCCTCCGCCTCCTCCTCCGCCGCCTCCTCCGCCTCTTCCGCCTGCTCCGCCTGCTCCTCCTCCCCCTCCTCCTCCTCCATCACCTCCTCCTTCTCCTCCTCCTCCTCGCCCTCCTCCTACTCCTCCTGCTGTTCCTCCTCCTCCTCCTCCTCCTCTTCCTCCTCCTTCTCCTCCTCCACCTCCTCTTCCTCATACTGGTACTCCTCGTCTTGATAACAATATTATCAGTTTGAGCATTCAGACCAGTATGAACACTACGAATGTTATTATGAGTAGTACCAGTAGTAGTAATAGCATTGGTACCATTCCTATTAACAGTATAACCAGTATTATTGACAATGGTAAGATACTTAGTTTGGTTATGTGTAGTGTTACGGTAATTATGATTGGTACGCCTCGTACTACTACTACTACTACTACTACTACTACTACTACTACTACTACTACTTCTACTACTACTACTACTACTACTACTACTACTACTACTACTACTACTACTACTACTACTACTACTACTACTACTACTACTCTACTACTACCACTACAACTACTACCACTACCACTACTACTACTACTACTACTACTACTACTACTACTACTACTACTACTACTACTACTACTACTACTACCATTACGCGTTTTAATTCGCCGGCCCAACGGGCCAGAGGCGTGCTAAGATCTCCGGTAAGTACTTAACAATATTTCTAGTGCGCGCCCGCGGGGCGGTCCCTGGGGGGCCCCGGACGAAAAGCACCCCGGCTGATCCCCGGCCGGGTCCCGGGCGATCCCCAGGGGGGAGGCTATTTTTCGCCACCCCTCACAAGGATCGTGGCCTCCGAGGGGGTGGCTGCAATCGACTCCCCCCCCTCCCGCCCCAAGGGGCCCCCGAGAGCCCCCAAGAGGCCTCAGGGGAGTCCAAGACGCCGCCAAGGAGCTCCAAGACGCTCCCAAGCAGCCCCCAAGAGGACCCCAAGACGGCCCCAAGAGGCCCCAAATAGCGCTCCAGGGCCGGCGGAATGAGCGAAGCGATTGAATAACACCGTTAGTATCAGTTGTAGTAGTAGTGGTAGTGGTAGTTTGTAGTGGTAGTGGTAGTGGTAGTGGTAGTGGTAGTGGTAGTGGTAGTGGTAGTGGTAGTGGTAGTGGTAGTGGTAGTGGTGGTGGTAGTGGTAGTGGTAGTGGTAGTGGTAGTGGTAGTGGTAGTGGTAGTGGTAGTGGTAGTAGTAGTAGTAGTAGTAGTAGTAGTAGCAGTAGTAGTAGTAGTAGTAATAGTAGTAGTATCAGTAGTAGTAGTAGTAGCAGTAGTAGTAGTAGTCGTAGTAGTAATAGTAGTAGTAGTAGTAGTAATCGTAGTAGTAGTAGTTGTTGTTGTAGTAGAAGTAGTAGTAGTAGTAGTAGTCGTCGTCGTCGTCGTCGTCGTCGTCGTCGTCGTCGTCGTCGTCGTCGTCGTAGTAGTAGTAGTAGTAGTAGTAAGAGTAGTAGTAGTAGTAGTAGTAGTAGTAGTAGTTGTAGTAAAAGTAGTAGTAATAGAAGTAGTAGCCGTAAAATGGTCATGAATGGTCAAATGGTATACTTAGTGTTGCTTTCCCTATTCAGTTTCTACATCGGTTTCTTCATGAATATGTATATATTATAAGTATTCGCCGCATTTCCCGTGATAGCGTTAAGATGAGAATGCGTCATCGTGTCAATACCATTATGACTACTAGGAATCGTTTCGTGATCCTTCTTAGTAGTAGTCACCAGATTCTTAATAGTGACACCATTAGCAACATGTATCGTTACTACGATGATTCGCATGTACAATGCTACTTTTGCTGTTGCGAATGATACCCATACTCTATATAGTCTTGACAGCCTCAACAATATGTGCAATGGTCGTCCCAAAATTAATACCAGTCGGTATAGTATTCGTGTTCGTCTTCATCGCATTCGTACTCTTGTTAAAATGGCAATGATTATCACCAGCCGTCGTAGTTGTAGTCTTCTCATGTGCATTATTGGCCGTACCCGTAGTCTTAGACACTGTAGTGTCATTATCACTCTTTATCTTACTCCTACTTTTATCACCACTGCACCTGATATTAAATCCCTGGGGATCAGTGTGTCTTGGAAACGCCCTGGGCGTTTCTTCTTTTTTTTCGCTCCCCCGTCGAAAAGCTGTTCCGATCATCTAGCGCAATGCCGAGAAGAGGAAGATGATGAGAAGGAGGCTGGAGTAGCAGGAAGCAGGAGACAAGATGCAAATCGAGGGCCGTGAGCACCGCATAGCAAGCTATAGCTTCAGTCGGTCTATAGCATGCGACGGTTGCATACTTTGTACGCAACGGCGCTAAGTGCTCCACACAAGCGGATCAATACAAGCTCTCCCCGCGAGAGCGATTACTCTCTGGCGACGCCTGTGGCAACTGCCACGGGCACACAGCTTCGATCGACTCGCAACCGATGGCACTCGGACATATACTGGACGATAGGGGCCGCTACCACAAATTCCTTAAACCTCGCTCCGAAAGAGTAAACAGATTCGGACCCTCGCGAGAGTGGGCTTACACACTGGATGGAGAATTCGGTTTCTGCATTCAGATCGAAGCAGATGCCGTCGGTGAGAGGATGTGGACCCAGAAAATCCACCAAATGCCGGAGGCCCAGGCTCTGAACAACTGCCTGGGATGCTCCAACCAGCCTTGACGAGACAACTGCACACGATATAATTGCTCAGCAGATTGCTAAGGCCCCTCAGCAGATTGCTCAGGGGAGCGAGCGGAGGAGGAGGAGGGGGAGGAGGAGGAGGAGGAGGAGGCGGAGGCGGAGGAGGCGGAGGAAATGTGCCTCAGACTGAAGGCACGCTGCTGTCGCCGCCAGCCTTCTGCTCCTTCGGCGCAGCCAGCTCCCTCGCGGGCATGTTGAACATAGGAAAGCTGCCCAGCCTGCCGAGGGCGAAGGAGTAGCCCACGCCCACGAAGATTGACCCTGCGAAGATGTTCCCGAGAGTCACTGGGACGAAGTTCCTCCAGAAGCAGTCCCACACGGACACGTCGGCGCCGGCTATCATCCCCAAGGGAATCATGAACATGTTGGCCGGAATATGCTCGAAGCCGATGGCCACGAAGCAGGAGATGGGGAACCAGATGCCAACCATCTTGCCAGTCATGTCCTGAGCTTGACCCTGCAGGAACACAGCCATACACACCAGCCAGTTGCAGCCGATTCCCTTCAGGAAGGTGATGAAGAAATTCTCCTTGATCTTCTTTTCCGCCACCTTCATCGCGAGCTTGGCAGTCAAGCCCACGTTCAGTTTGCAGGCCTCGACGAAGAAGGCGAAGAGCACGGCGCCAAGCAGATTGCCGATCCAAGCCAGCGCAAACGTCCTAGGGATCTGCTTCCAGTGCAGCTTGCCTTCACACACGGCCGCAGGCACGGTCGCAGCCGTACCTGTGATCAGCACCCCGCCTGTGAGCAAAATGAGCAGCAGGTTCACGGGGAAGAGCGCAGCGAAGACAAAGGTCTGGATGGCCGGGTTGTCCTCTGCTGCCTTGTCCAGACCGCCAGCCACCACCATCGACAGCATGCCGCCGAAGCCAATGTAGCAGCCCGCGTAGAAGGACTGGTGAAAGATCTTGATGGACGCGTCGCCGCCCATCGACACGCCTTTGTCAATCATGCCCTGGAATGCCTCCTTGGGGGCTTTCACGATCGCCACGAGTTCCGGCATGGTCGCGCGACGCGACTTGCTGCGGACAGGAGGCGCCTGAGGCAGTGGCGGGATTCAGGGCAGGGGACACGTCCGCTGATGCGGTCTCGACGCGAAGCGGCCTTGCGCCTTGCGCCAAAACGACTTGAGCCAAAATGGCTACGGAAAAACGCCCTGGGCGTTTCTTTGTAGTTTCAAGCTCGTGTGTACTGTGCGCGACAAGCGGGCTCAAAAACGGACCCTGGAAACTATCGAAAAACATGTCCGAACCATAGGCTGGAAACGAATCTAAAACGAGCGGACGCAAGCTGGGAACGGCAAGGAAACGGCCCCCTGGAAACGATACAAAAAAAACAGGTTGGAAACCAAGCGACACACAACGGGAATGCCGATGATTTTGAATTCTGGGCGGGCGGCGCAGCGGGCATCAGCAGCAGCGAGCACTAGCGGCAAACAGTAGCAACAGGCAGTGTCAGCACCAGACAGCATAGGAGCAAGGTGGCGGCGGTTTCGGGGCTGACCCCCCCCCACCCCCCCCCACCCCCAAAGTTTTAAAGGATTGCGCTGCGTTGGGGACGGAACGCGTCGTCACCTTGCTGCCGGCACCGTCGCGGTATACCCGCTGTGTTTTTCTTCGGCGTTGCTTCCCCTCTCCCCTCTCTCTGTCTCTCTCTCTCTCTCTCTCTCTCTCCGCCGTCCCCAGCCTCAAGATCAGCCTGCATGCAGCCCGAGCGAGCCTCAGCCTAGCCTAGCTTAAACCGCAGCCAAAAAAGGACTGCCGAAGCCTCTGCCTCTCAGAACAGAGCAGAAAGGTCGCGCGGCGCGGGAGGGGCAGGCGCGGCACCACACATCGCCTGAACGATCTGGGCGTCGACCTTCCACGCGTCCACCTGGTCGCGGTGATCGGCCCTATCGCGCTCGATCTTGGCGATGGTGACTGGGGCCGCGTTGTCAGCCAGGTTCATGGGGGCCCGAGGAGGCGCGCACCCAACGCCATGCAGGAGAGCCTCGATACCGGCAACGACGGGCGCCGACAGGCCGATGGCCTCGGCATCGGGTGCGCGCGCGGGCTTGACGGGCCCCACACCGAACTCCTTGCACGACGCCCAGGTGCTCTCGCCTTGACCCACCCCGAGCACGAAGTTGTTCGCGATGTCACGACTCATCCGTGCTCTCGAGGCAGCTGAACTTGATGTTCGCGCCCCGCGACCAGCCGGTAAGCCAAACCGCGCGATGCGAGATCGCAGGGGAGACGGCTGCTTTCAAGCGCTCGCAATCGGCCGACATCCCGACGCGCGCCACGCATGTGCGCTCGATGACGTACAAGAAGATGGCAGCGAGCGCGGAGCCGTTGTCCTCCCCGCCCAGCTGTTGCACTCCGTTCTTTAAAATCGACTCGGATCGCCGCTAACGCCGAAAGCCCGCTGCCAACGCTGTCAACCACATCCGCCTGCAAGTACTAGACTGTAAATACTAGACTGCAATCTTCATTGCAAGATCTGAAGACCACCACTGCAACTACAGGATTACGACCGTGATGACACTTCACTAATGCAATAAGACGACTGGCTTAGTACGGTATCGAAGTACCGCCAGTACAGTACTAGACAATCACTACTGCAGTAGTACTGCTACAATTTTGTACTACGAACATTGATGCGTCACCACTACAGCAGCGCAGCACTATCATACTACAGCGATGCTGCGATACTGCGGAGTTTTCTGTTCAAAAACAATCGTACACTCACTGCAGGGAATAGTATAGTACTGCTCGTGCGCCTACTGTACTGGAGTACTGCTTCTACAGTACCAGCGCTACAACAGTACAGCATTACTCCCCAATGCTGCAACGCCTTTCCTACAAAACTACCGCTAGAACGTTCGAGTTGGAGGATACTACGACTGCACTCGAGCACAGCACTCGTGGACTACTTCTACTACAGTACGGCAGCGCGGCGACTAAAGCAAGCACAAGAATAGGACCATTACTGTGAGGCCTGATTACTCGTACTACTACTGCTACTACGACTATTTCTACTACGACTACGACTACTACTACGACTGTTACTACGACTACTACTACTACTACTACTACTACTACTACTACTACTACGACTACGACTACGACTACTACTACAACAACTACTACTACTACTACTCCTACTACTACTAACACCACTACTACGACGACTACTACTACTACTACTACTACTACTACTACTACTACTACTACTACTACTACTTACTACTTACTACTACTACTGCTACTGCTACTACTACTACTACTACTACTACTACGACTACGACTACTACTACTACCACTACCACTACCACTACTACTACTACTACTACTACTACTACTACTACTGCTGCTGCTGCTGCTGCTGCTGCTACTACGACTACCACCACCACTACTACTACTACTACTACTACTACTACGACTACTACTACTACTACGACTACTACCACTACCACTACCACTACCACTACCACTACTACCACTACTACTACTACTACTACTACTACTACTACTACTACTATAGCCACGACTACTACTACGACTACTACTACTCGTACTACTACTACTACTACTACGACGACCACTACTACTACCACTACTACCACTACCACTACTACTACTACTACTACTACTACTACTACTACTACTACTACTACTACTACTACCGCTACTACTACTACTACTACTACTACTACTACTACTACCACCACTATTACTACGATTACGACTGCCAGTACTGTGATTACTAGAATTACAGGACTAGTACAGTGCTGCCAACTCATACATGCAATGCTACTATTGACTTAGCACGGTTTCAAAGTAACGCCAATATAAGAATAGCGCACCACTACTGCTAGTGTACTGTTCTACGGTTAGCCCTGTGCCACCGCTACAGCACCACAGTATTATAAACTGACACCAGTGCTGCGATACAGCGGAATTGGGGCATTCCTACTGTTCTTACGAATACTGTATCAGAATTGTGATGTTACAGCGCCGCGACTACAACAGCACAGCACGATCCCACAATAGTTCAACCGCATTCCTACAACACCAAAACTAAAGTATTATAAATGGAGGATGTTACTACTACCGTGCACGAACTGTACAGTAGTGGACCACTTCTACTACAATACGGCGGCACGACTGCTACAGCAAATGCTAAAGTGTGACCTTCACTGCAAGACCTGACTAGTGCCACTGCAACTTCAGGACTGCTACAGTGTTGCCTCTTCATTAATGCAATACTATTACTGGTTTAGCACGGTGTCACAGTACCACCAGTACAGTGCTAGAGTGCCAATACTGCAGTAATACGGCTACAGCGTTGTACTACGACAGTTACAGTGTCACCACTACAGCACTACAGAACTATAGTACTACAGCGATGCGATGCTGCGATGTTACAGCACTGGGATATCCTTACGACAGTACAAGACTACACTCGTACGAATACTGTGCTATGGTACTGCTTCTACAGTGCCACTGCTACAACATCGCAGCACTATTTCCCAATAGCACAGCGCCCTACAGTATTACAGGGAAGGGAGAAGGGGAGGAGGGAGTGCAAAAACAATCAAAACAAATGAAGACTTGTTTTTCTTTGTTTGGTTTGCCGCCCCCTCCCCCCAGCTTGCAAACTATTCCCCTTTTGCCACGATTCTGCGGGGTCGCCTCTGCATTAATGCAATACTACGACTGGGATAGCACAGCATCACAATACCACCAGTACAGTACGAGAGTGCCACTACAGCAGTATGACGGCTACAGAATGGTACTGCGACTAGTACAGTGCCACCACTACAGCACTACAACACTATAGTAGTACAGCGATGCTGCGATACTACGGCACTGGAGTAATCCTACGACAGTACACTGCTACACTCGCTGCAGGCGATTGTAGAGTATCACCCATACGAATACTGTACTGGAGCACTGTTTCTACAGTGCCACTGCTACAACAGCGCAGCACTATTTCCCAAGTGCACTGCGCTCTTCCTGAAGCGTTACAGGGATGGGAGAGGGGGAGAAGGGGGGGGGGCAACAACAAAAAACAAGTTGATTGTTTTTTTCTTCTTTTTTTGTTGCTTCCCCCCCAGATTGCAAACCATTCCCTTTTTGCCACGACTCTGCGGGGTGCGCGACGCAAACGGAAACGCAACGCACGTGGGCCGCGACGCAAACGGAATCGGAACCGATTCAGACAAAACCCCCCGCACCCTCCCCCCCCCAAAAAAAATACGCCCCAACCACCCCCCCAAAAAAAACGATACCGAACAGCAAGCCAAAAACGAAACTTCAGAAACGCAGGGGGGGGGTTCGGCCCCGTAACCGGTGGCGGCTGCAGCGGGCAGGAAGTGCAAAAGGAGAGAGCGTCGAGCTCTTATCGTGCGTTGCCTGTCAGTCGCTGTCCGACCAACCGGATTGGGGGGTTGGAAACGCGTTGAAAATACGTGAACGGTCTCAACCAGGCAACTTCGACCCTTAGCCCAGGGGAAGCGGAAATATTGAGGATGTCGCCGCCGCCGCCTAGGCCGCCGTTGCGATGCCGACGCCGCCGTTATGACACCGACGATGTCTCCGGCTCTGACGCGCGGGACCGGATAGCGATTGACAAGCAACGCCCGTTAAGAGCTCAGAGAAGCCTTTTGAAGAGAGCGTGTCGAGCTATTACCGCACGTTGCCTCAATACCGGATAATAAACAACAGCACGTTGCGAGGCAGACCTGGAGACGATGAAAAAACGAAGCTGGAAACTATAGAAATGAAACCCTTTGATTGGAGCAAAACAACAACAACAACAACAACAACAACAACAACAACAACAACAACAGAAACATCGCCGCGGAGACCTGGAAACGGAAAAAAAGGGAGCCAGAAACTATTGAAAAACGTGTTTTTGAATGGAGGCTGGAAAGTGCAACAGAAACACCAACAACAAAAAACGCCCAGGGCGTTTCCAAGACACACAAAAGCCCCAGGGATAGTAAAGTTCGGGATCCAGGGGGATAATGGAAGCTTGCCCGGCAGATCGCAGCAGAAAGGACGTTGAGGACGATGTTGATGATGATGATGATGATGATGATGATGATGATATCATTGCCCGCACTCTGCGCATCCTAAGGCTGTCCCGCGCTCTCG